TGTACCTCATTGAGTTCGTTCGTTTCGACACTCGCTAACTGTTGGCGAATCGATGACGGCTATTTTTTCCAATATTAAACAATATCACAAGTTTACAAAAAAAAAGTGTATGCATGTTAAACCAAACCTATATACCCCTATGTTATTCGACATGCTGAATGCGAATCCGAGGTCCGTTAGCCTCCATCAAGTCAGGTTCGTGGTCATTTGAAGATCAAGTAGGAAAAAAATTTATTGAATAAACCTGAAAGTTCAATAAAAATCTTCTGAATTTGACCTTGGGAAGACCTTGGCATGACCTCTAGATGGCCTTGAGGAATTAAGGGACCCCATATTCGGACAAAAACATTTTTTTATTTGTTATTAATTTTGTCCTATTTGACCCTTAGCTTACATTATTGAGGTTTGCGGACCTCGGATTCGAGTTCCATTAATCTAGAGGACCTCGGATTCACATTCAGTATGTCGAATAACATAGGGGTATATAGGTTTGGTTTAACATGCATAAACTTTTTTTTTTGTAAACCTGTGTATTTCAAACGCATGCAACCGTTGGTTTTTAACCATTCTCAAATTGAACTCTAATAACGCACAGAAATGGAATAATCGAAGAGGCTGTTAAATTGACGGCGATAGTATTTTTGTGTAGGTTTTCATGGCAGAAATACACTCGGATTTTTGCCATTACCTGCCGAGTGGCGACCGCTGTTAAGAAAAAACCTCTTTTCTATATTTTTTGCGATGCTGCTTTGACTAGAGCTTGAGCCGAGGCCCGACGGAGTGGAAGCGCGCACTGCTTACCACTATACCACAGCGGCCATCCCCTGTTCACAAGTTCATCTTGGAGCAGCAAAAAGATCGCAAATTCGGATACAAAGCCTAATCTTTTATCATCATTCTGTTTCGTTAAGTTTATATACTTCTTCTTTTTATGGCGCTGTAACCGCCTAAGCGATTTTGGCCGAGTTCAGCAAAGCACGCCAGTCGTTTCTCCTCTGTGCCAACTTACGCCAATTGGAAACGCCAAGTGAAGCCAAGTCCTTCTCCACCTGATCTTTCCATCGCAGTGGGGGCCTCCCTCTTCCTCTGCTACCACGAGCGGGTTCCGAGTTAAATACTTTCAGAGCTGGAGCGTCGGTGTCCATTCGAACGACATGTCCATATCGTTGTAAAGCTCATACATCGTTCCATCGTCTGCGTACTCGCCGTCGCCAACGCGTAAAGGCCTGTAAATCTTCCGCAAAATCTTTCTCTCAAACACTCCAAGAGCCGCCACATCGGATGTTGTCATTGTCCATGCTTCTGTGCCATATACCAGCACGGGCATGATGAGTGACTTATAGAGCGTGGTTTTCGTACGTCGAGAGAGGACTTTACTCCTGAATTGCCTACTCAGTCCAAAGTAGCACTTGTTGGCAAGAGTGATTCTACGTTGGATTTCAATGCTGACATTATTATCGGTGTTAATGCTGGTTCCCAAGTAAACGAAATTCTCTACTTTCTCGAAATTGTAACTGTCAACAGTGACGTGGGTGCCAAGGCGCGAATGTGCTGACTGTTTGTTTGANCAGACCCATTCGCTTTGCTTCCCTATCAAACTTGGATGCCAAATTCAGACATAGCGGAATATAGGCAACTCCTTTTAGTGCTGTCAAAAGCGACTTTAATATCGACAAATTGAAAGTGTGTGTCGATCCTATTCTCACGAGTCTTTTTCATGATTTGACGTATTGTGAATACCTGGTCTACGGTGGATTTTCCAGGTCTAAAGCCACACTGATAAGGCCCAATCAGCTCATTGACGGTGGGCTTCAGTCTTTCACACAATACGCTCGATAAGACCTTGTAATCTATGCTTAGAAGGCTGATTCCGCGGTACTTGGCACGAATGGCGGGGTCACCTTTCTTGTGGATTGGGCAGAGCACACTTAAATTCCAGTCGTCGGGCATGCGTTCATTTGACTATATTCTACATACGAGCTGATGCATGCACCTCATCAGCTCCTCGCCGTCAGCTCCAGCAGCTTTGTTCTTTTTCAGCCGCGTAATCGCTATTCGTACCTCGTCATAGTCAGGCGGTGGGACATCTACTCCATCATCATCGACTGGGGACTCGCGTTCGTCTTCGTCACTACTTTCAGCGCTGCTACCATTCAGTAGGCTGTAAAAGTGTTCCCTCCACATTTTAAGTACAATCTGGAATCGGTCACTAGGTCGCCATTGTTGTTCTTACAGGAGTTCGCCCCGGTCTTGAAACCTTCCGTAGTTCGCCTGACCCTCTGGTAGAATTTTCGGGCGTTCTTCCTGTCGGCCAGCATTTCAAGCTCTTCGCACTCACGTATTTCGGCCTCTCTCTTCTTGTTGCGGCAAATACGTCTCGCTTCCCTCTTCAGATCCCTATAGCGGTCCCACATAGCGCGCGTTGCGCCCGATCGCAGCGTGGCCCTGTAGGCGNACGTTGCGCCCAATTGCAGCGTGGCCCTGTAGGCGGCATCTTTTTTCTCAGCAGCCTCCTGACAATCCTCATCGTACCAGTTATTCTTTCGGGCTCGCTGAAATCCGAGTACTTCTTCGGCGGCGGTACTTAATGAGCGGGAAATGTGGTTCCACTGCTCGCATANCTCGCTGAAATCCGAGTACTTCTTCGGCGGCGGTACTTAATGAGCGGGAAATGTGGTTTCACTGCTAGCATATGTCGAATTGTTGAAGAGTGCTCTCTGAGAGAAGGAGTGTGAGTCGATTGGCGAACAAATTGGCCGTCTGTTGTATATGCAGCTTTTCGAAGTTGAGATTTCCTTGGATTTTTGAACGTAAATTTTTTGTTGCACAGAGGCGGGTGCATATCTTGGCTGCAACAAGATAGTGGTCCGAGTCGATGTTTGGCCCTCGGAGTGTACGTGCCTGCCTTCCATCTCTCTGGAACCTTGTACTGCATACTACTGTGTTTCGGGCCCAGGCGAAGTCGATCAGCGTTAGTCCGTTTCTGGACGTGAGGCGGAGCTCATATTTGCGCTACAAGCGCTCATAGAAGAGATCCTTGAGTTTCTCGTCCTTCTCATCCGTCGTGGCGTGGTCGCAGATGAGCGAAATGTTGAATATCCAAGCTTTGATGCGGATTGTGGCTTCACGCTCGGCCGCCGGAGTGAACTACACTTCCCTTGCCTTGCCCATCCATCGCATTTTTTGGATGGCGGTGATGCCACGCTTTGTCTTCCCAAGGAATAAAATATGGTTATTTATTCAGCGTCAGAATTTTTTTATGCTTCCGAAATTTTTTTTGGTGAGGCAGATTAATGTGCACATAAACAGTCTCACCCAAGAATTTCGTTGGACATAATTTGCACAAATAATGAATTTCGTTGGACATAATTTGCACAAATAATGAAATTACTGTAGTACCTTAGTAATAACAGTAACAATGGCAACAACAAAAATTAACCACAATGCTTATTTATTGACACTAGGTCAGGTTAAAGGTGTACATGTACATATAAATACATATGTATATATTTATCTATTCGTATTTTTTTTTGTGTACAGCATAAATTATCTTTGAGCAAATTTTAAAAGAAAATGAGAACTTAGCCCTGATTTTTATTAAGTTTTAAGTTTGGCTTACAGAATGATATTGCATTGCAACTTATGTTTATTTATTTATTTTTACTTAATTTTCATTTCAATTATAATTCAATCGATAACAGAAACCACATAAATACAGGTTTCATAGCTTGCAAAAATTTAAAAAAAAAAAATAATCCAAGCTTCAAAAAAGTTTCATAAAATATCAAAAGAGGCGCTGAAAATCTGAAGAAACCAAAATAATACGAAACCTTTTAATAAAGATCGACTCCTTCTTATTCGTATGGAGTTTTGCTTTGCTTTAAACACGCAAAATGTTGTATTCAAAGCTTTGCAAAATACCTGAAGAAAATGGCTATGAGAAGGGTTTTCCCTCTCTTGTAAAATTGAAAAAAATGGATTTAGAAATCTTGCGCTCAAAGCTAGTGATATTTAGAAAATTTTCGGGTATGCAATTTTGTAGGCCATGACAATTTTTTGAAGTTTGATTAATTTTTTGGAAATTTGTGCAAGCTTTTGAACTTTTATTTATGTGGTTTCTGTTATATTTTGAATTATATTTTAAATGAAAAGTACATATTAAAAATAAATAAACAAACATAAGGTGCAAAAAATTTAATTTTGATTGTCGTAAGCGTCATACGTTCGTGCGTAATATACGACAATCATTTACCCAGGAGACGATATGTACATACATATGTATATAGTAACTTTTAATTATAATTATATTAAATATAAGCTGAATTAAATTAAGTATATTTATATTTACATACATATATATATTTAATGTAACGAGAAATCGATGAAAAAATTTAACGCTACAAATCCTAGTTAAATATATTTACATATGTATGTAAATATAAGAAAAATTTTAAATTCATATATGTAATTTGTACGAATATGATAGGAAATATTTATAAACATGCAAAATAAGAATTGGAGGCATAGACGCCTTAAATAATCTTTTTTATACCCAGTACCTGCGCTTTCACTTGGAAGCGAGTTTACTGTAACACTCGCCTTGCGTGACCCTACCTACATAAACACACATATACCCACTATGTATGTATGTACATATGTACATGGGCAAAGATGCAAGGTTTATTCAAATGTATATTTACCATTTAATACTATTCGAATCAAATTATATCGATCTAACATGGTTCACATGGTAACCATATATAATTGTTCATCTATATCGGCCTACAAATATTTTGAAATCTACAACCAATGACTTTAGTCGCATTTGAAATCTTTGTCGGAACGTATTTATTTTAAGTAAATTGTTTAGCGGAAGTAAGTGCTTGCAAATTATACTATTGAACAAAAGAATCTTAAATGATTTTTTGTTAATCAAAATAATAACTTTTTACTTTTTCAACTTTTAATATACTAAATGTAATTATTACCATTACAGCAAAACTAAACCATGTGTGATTCAGCTTGTCATTTGTATTGTTTGCATGACTCATGCTACTGTCATTCAAGTCTACATTCATGCTGCAGTCATTACAAATACTACAGATGTTACTGTCGCACATACCATCGTTCGTGCTGCTGCTATTTGTGGAGAAGAAAATGCTACTTACTTTAAAAATCGAGCGCAGTTTCATTTTTCGAGAGATCACTGTTGATAGAACTAATTTTAAGGCGTAAATCATATTTATAATAGCATCATTGTATTCCTCTTAAGTGTTCATAAGTTACTGAATTAAATAAATTAATAAAAATGGCCACCACTATTTTGAACGTAATAATTTAGATTTTAACTATTGATTGAAAATTTCGTTGAAGTTTTAAAACGCGAGTTTTAAAATTTTCAATCAAGTTAATATTTAAAAAATTTTCACACCAAAAAATACACTGTGCAAAAGTTTTTACTTAAGAGCGTGTCAGACGTGGCAATGCAATGTATTTCGAAAAGGCTGAAAATTTTAGAAATGTAAGCTAGAGTTTACACCGGACCATATTGTCCTAAGTAAGAGAGCAGTTACATTAGCAATCACACCTTACATGTAAAGTGTCCTTCAAAAGCGGTTTTTCATTTCCGAAAACCGAATTGCAGGAAAGTTTTCTGAAAACGCTTTTCAGTCGTAATTTTCAATTTACAGGTTAATTTATTAACTTATCAATTCAATTCCGACAAATAATTTGTTACGAGTATTTTTGATATTTTATTCAAAATTTTCCTATATTATGCATGTCCGTTATGGCGATTCAGAAAAATATCTTTCCTCTTTTTTCCTCGGAACTATGCTCAAAACATTTGTTTTAAGACGCCAAATTATAAGCCCTTAATATTAATGTTAAGAATGTAAGCATCGCACTTTTCGATTTCCCATAAGAATAACAAAGGAAAAATAGTTTTTACTTCTGATTTTTATATTTAGTGAAAGATACGTTGTACTGTAAAGGTTTTGTAGAGAATTTAACGCTCTACAAAAAAGTTCTGAAGTCATTTTCCGATAAGTAAACTAGGTCAAAAGTTATTCGAGTTCAAATTTGACAGAATGGTGTATTTGACTTTGACCTCAATAACTTTTGACCAAGTTGACTGATTGAAAAATGACTTCAGACCTTTTTGTAAAGCATTCAATTCTCTACAAAAATACAGTTACAAAAACAATTTGTCCTGTGCTATTCCTATGGGGGGAAATCGAAAAGTTCGATGCGGACAATCTTAATCAAGGCGAATTTATACAAGGTGATGTTGTTTCATCAGCTGTGAGTAGCGGGTGATTGTCAAAATTTTGTATTTCGCTAGTGAGTGAGTGAAAACGTGAGAGTGTTTGTATTTTCTGAAAACCTTTTTCCGTCAGGGAAGAATAGCTAAAACTTGACAATGGCCCGCTCAAAGCAAAAACAAAATACAAGTAAAGGTTGTATTTGTTAAATCGATACCACCTTATATAAATTCGCCTTGATCTTAATATTAATATTAAAGGCTCATATTTTCTAAGACTTATTTTGGCGTCTAAACGAAACTTTTAAGCATGGTTCCGAGGAGAAAATTATAATTCTGAATCACCCTAATGTCCATGTAGCAAATAATTATCAAAATTTATGAAAAGTTATCAAGTTTTATTATTCATTTATCCAAAAAAAAATTTAAAGTAGAGGAAATTGAGAGTACAAAATGACATTTCTTTTGGAGTTGCAAATTTATATTGCAAAAGCATGTCGCTGGGTGCAATTGAAACTAATAAGGAAACTGTTTTGGGGTTTTTATAGTGGAAATTTACAAAATGAAGATATTTAAATATAAAATAAGACATGAAATACGAATAAATAGCTACGAATAAACAACAAATTTATCAACTGTTCAGCAGAGCTGTGACACTATGAAACCATTTAAAATCTTAATCATGAAATATTTACAAGTAGGATTTCATTCTTTTTCCTTTGGTCTGGTAGTGTGGCTTATATTTTTTTCAATCTGCAATCATTAAAAAAAAATTTATTTCACACAGTAAGGTGGCAAATACCTGAATGAAAAACTGAGAATGCTGAAGTAAACAGAATTCAATACTGAATTAGCTTCCAGATGAATGAACACTTTGCTATGTGTGCATTCTCTAATTCAGTTCCAATCAAATTTTATACACTAAGAAAAATGTGTAAGTTTAGATGATGGAATAATGAGGTGTATGAACTTTAAAACGATATTGACATAGTGTCGCGTATCAATGCACAGCGGCCACGCGGGCTAAGCCATGTCCTACGAATGAATGGTTGTGATTGGACTCCTCCACGCATGAAACGCAACTTGATTCACATGAACATATTGTACAAATTTATAGTTTTGGTTGTTTAAAAACTGAGTGCAAAATATTCCAAGACAATTAGTATCTATAATTTTTTTCTTTTAAAGATTGGAAAATCTGCAGAACATGAAATAATCAAGCATAACAACCATCGAATGATAGCAGCTTTTCTCATTCAGCCCATGGTTTATCCACATACATATAATGTCCTTTTTTAAAATACATATGTGCCCATTTTCGCGCGGCCACCCTTTATGATCAGTTTTTATTTGTAAAANCGTATTTATGTGCCTTGATTTCTACGTACAAAATTGTTTGTCTACATTTTTAAATTTCCAAAAATTCTACTTTGTAAAGTTCAAAGACTTCTACAAAAACAAATTTATTTAAAAGATCTACAAACAAATTTATACGTATAGAAAGCTTGCTACTTCATATGTATGTATGAGCGCCTGGTATTGAGAAATAAAAATATCTTTGTACAAATAAAAATTTACTTCGTTCAATAAAATTGACCGCAAGTTTCCTTCAAAAATATGCAGTTGGTTTTAAAAAGCATTGACAGATTATCCAAAGCTGGTACGTACTTCTGGTCATAGGTAATGCTTTACCAAATTGTAGCAGTAGTAGAAAAGCAAAAGTAAAACGACTATTTTCTCCTATAAACTGAATGACCAAAACTGTTTGCATTGCGAATACTTTTGTTACATTCACATTCTATACTGAATGGGACTCTGCCATTCAATAACACATTACGTTTGTTTTTGTTTCAAAATAATTTAAGCCACTTAAGAATGAGGTTTTTTTTATACAACCAAACAATCAAAATTTTGAAACGAGTGCCAAGTGAATGCAGCTCTGCTGTCCAGGAAACTTGCAAATTGGTAAGGGTATTATGCACGTACTTTTATGGATATACATACATATTTCTCTATCTGTCGTCCCTAAATTGGCGCATCAAGTGTCAAAAATCCCACCATAACGCGGCGCTAGCGCCGTGCAAATCGAATTTTCATTTTTGACATGGCGTTTTGTGTTGAAGTTGGTTGCAGAAGACGGAAAGAAAGAGAAATGTCAAAAGAGTGAAAGAGGAAACGAGAATAAAAACAGGAGGAAATGAGAAAACCTCTAAAATTACGCTGCGTTGATTTGGGGATAGCGCACGTTGACACTCATTGACAATGGAAAGCGCAACGCATAGCACTCCTATTTAGGGACGGCAGTATATGAGCAAATTCTCGGAAATCAAAGGCTTGTTCATGCTGAAAGCAACTTGTAGCAAGTGTCTAGTAACTTACCTTCACACCTAGAAACTTTTATTACTGAAACTCATTTGGAAAAAGTGACAAAATTACCGTTCTGAGAGTTCACACGTGGAAAAAAATGTCTCGTTCTCAAATTGACTGCGAATTGCGTGGAAGTTATATTTCTCTCGTCTGACACCCTCCTTGGAAAGAAATTTATTTTACATATCACCCTATGAATTCGCCATTTTTTTATTAATATGAATCACACTGCACTGGTTCTCTTATTTAGTTTTGTTTCTGAAGCAACACTAAATATAGTTAATTAATTAAGAGTGAAGTCCGTTTGTCGTATTTGTCAACATTTTTAATAAAGTTAGGCGTACACGAAAAATTACTATTTATATTGGAGTATTATGGTTTCACTGCAATTGAAACCGAATTTTCTCGCCCCAGGTTAGTAAATATATCTACACAAATTGCAAGCAAATACACAAAGTTGAAATGCTCAGAAAAAGTGGTGGCCTAAATTAATTGGGCTATAAATAAAAAATAGTTCTATGTAAAAGGGCTGAGTAATTTATGTGCAAATACCCCAACTAAGTAGATTAAGGTACTATTATGATTATGCCTGAAAAGCGATCCGTAATGCTGTAGTACTATGGGGTTTTCGAACAGAATTATTGCAAACATATGTACATATATTGGTTCAAATTGTTTTGACTCATATGTATGCATATAAATAAGTGTGACACAGGGTATAACCCACATTTGTAATCGATAGCGAATACTTAAGGGATTAGTTCCTAATTGTTCCTGGAAATTGGTTTAGAGTTAAATGCACCGTGTACAAATGTACACCTAGAAAATATTACCTCACCGTTTGCATCTAGCCTCTCGAAGCAATGGCAAAGTATCTAAAGAGCACATATTTACCAAGATAATGGGTTTAGAGGCGCGCGTTAACAGAAAGATATCTTACTTTGAGCTATATATACTTTTAAATTACGTCCTTTTGGATTTGATGCTATCAAGCAAGATCCCGAATTCTATGTTTAGACTCATGTTATGGTTTAGAAATTGAAATTGTCCTTGCGAATTTTATCAGCAAATTTGTACTTTCTAATTTTTTTACAGATGTCGATGAAATAGGGACAAAAAAAGACGATTATGTTACCTCTAATCAAACGGAATCTTGTTTTGTATTCAATTCAAATCATTCTTTACCAATAATCGAACAGCGAAAACGTCTGCCAATTTATAAATATCGCAGAGATATTCTATATTGTTTGGAAAAAAATCAGGTTTTGATAGTTGTTGGCGAAACTGGTAGCGGAAAAAGTACTCAACTTCCACAGGTATAAAATTGTTTAATGTAGACGTATGTATGTATATGTATGCATATAAATTATGTGCAGTTTTTCTAGTTCATGTATTTATACATATTTATATTTGTATCGAAAATACAAAACTCAAATTTATTACCTTGACTTTGCCAATCTCTATATGACACAACTCGGCTTTTGGCGGACTTTCACCTTTGACTGCTTAAATCAGATAGCCGATAGTTTCGGTACCTATATCCCGATTCATGATTAGTAAATAATATTTAATTCGCCATTAGGAAACAGCATGGGACTATAGATGCTATATACATCTGTGGGTATGGCTGCATCTACTGAAGTAAAATAGTAAGCATATAATGCAAAGAGTAATTATCAAAATAAACCTTTGTTTTTAAATTAATTATAAGCTTTTAGGAAGCTTAAAACCAATATGGGCTTAAAATATTTTTGTATCAAGCTCTTACATTGCACTTTTATGTACGAGTAATAAACCACTTTGGACTTACATACTGTTGTTGTTGTAGCGGTTATATGAATAATAACATAGTACAAATTGCAGTTGTGTTCAAATATCAGAAATCCGTTTTATTGAAAATTGAAGGAATGGCACCTCAGTATTCCCCAGATTCATTTACAGCTTGTTTATTTGCTTGCATTTTTCCGATCACCTCTTTTTGTCTACATATGTTAAAGTGATATTACTTGCAGATTCACATTTCAACCATATTTGCTCGATCACACAACTGTTGTGACATGAACGTTTATTTGCAATGCTAATCGGAGCAATTCAATAGAAACAAAAAATTGTGAAGACATAACGAGAGAAATAAACTAATTTTAATTTTATTTTAATCACATAACAAACAAACCCACCAAAACACACAATCGACGGCAAAATGGTGGGTCCAAGCTCCCAAGTTAGTAAAGCACTACTTTGCCTTCTGTTCCTGTTATTGGCATTTTATATTTTTATGGACATTCAATTATATTTACGTATAAAAAATTATCCAATCGAACGAGATTACCACTTGAACATAACAACACTAATAACAAATAATGTACTGGGTGGTGTAGCAACAACAGATTTGACAGTAATCAAATCAGTCGGTTATTACGAGCAACACCAATGGGTATCTTGTGATGTAAATCCACTTTGCCATGTGACTGTAAAAGCTGTGCTCCTCGATCATACAAATCATTATCTTTTTGCGCCGCTAGCTACCATATTCGACAATGTCGTTGGCATTTCGCGCACCACATTCATCACAGCAAACATGATATCTTTCTTCCATGTGGGAGTGGCATGCATTGCAGGAAAGATGGTTTCATCCGACAGTTTGGGCTATCGCCGATTGGGTGTGGTACTCTTCCAATTCCGCACATTCCTTGATGACTTGGATGGCCATGTGGCTCGTGCCAAGAAGCATATACATGGAGAACGTTCGGAAGTTGGAACATCCGGTTATTATATTGATGGCCTTTGCGACGGTTTGGGTTGTATTGCACTACTTTTAGGTATTTTCTTTTATCTAAAAAATAATCCGCCACGTCGGGGTTACTCTCAAATACCAATGAGTGAATCAAAACTACCTGAACCAGTGACGAGACCCAAAATGAAATCTATGACACCGAAAATTGTCAAGAAAGTTTTAAGCTTCACAGGGCAGCTGCTTGTTAGCTCGACTGCTTGGAATCGCTACATCGCCGTATACCAAGACATGTTGGAGCGTAACGACGTAAAGCCAACGCAATTTATTCGTCAAAATATCACATTCAAGTCGGCATGGTTCTTGTGTGTGGCTTGGATGTGGCGCATAGTAAACGTACATTCTTTGCTTCATCTTGTGTTATTAAGTATATTCTGCGATAAATTGTGGGACTTCTTAAAGGCCATACAATATGTCGGTTACATCATATTAATAATTGTAATTTGTATCAGTGAAATGCATGTTATTGAGGCTCATAATTTCATTTTTAACACTATTGCTGGTAATAACACATCGTTCTGATTTCTAAATGTCGTGTTGTATAAAATGTGAACTGTTACTAAATCCGAAATATTTTATGTAAAATTTAATACTATATATACAAAACTCACAATTCAACATAACATACATATGTATATTGCAAAAAAAGTAAACGAAGAACAAATTTGATTTTTAAATAAAAGCTAAATAAGTTATATATTTGTGTAAGCGTGCATTTTCATTTCAATTAAGGCACTTAAACTGTTGCCAGTCAGATGCCATAAATGAAATAATGACATCTTATTTGCGAAAATTGTCGTGTTTTTTGTTCTTGGTTAATGATACATTCTCCCAGGTAGAGAATGTTTTTCCCAGCATTGACATCGCGATTCTAGAATGTACGGCAGTTTGGACAAAACTGGTACCTGTGTGGCGATTTGGACGCCAGGTATACGTTGTAACATTTTGCGCAAAGGTTGGTTGTTCTGAATTCATTAACCATCAGAATATCTGCATTAGAGGTTTACGCCGACAAGACAGGACAGGACAGGAAAAGTAAACGAAGAACAAATTTGATTTTTAAATAAAAGCTAAATAAGTTATATATCTCAATTAAGTATAGGCGGCCACGCAAACCTTAAATTTGGTACAATTTTTTAATTAATAAACAAATTTTTATTTTTAATATAGTTTAAACCACACAAAAACTATTATAAACTTTATGCAGAATTTAGAAAAATGCATCAAATTAAAGTTTCAAATTAAAAAAAAAAATTAAGAAAATTTCGGAAATGCGGTTTAATATCACATTTAATCTTAGTATAATTAAGTGCAAGTTTGAAGTTGCTCAAAGCTGTTTCTATATTACTGAGTTGTTCATTTCCGAATAATACAAATAAGATTACCCGGTTTCTGACATCTCTAAATTTAAAACAATTATTGCTGTTAATTAAATTTTAATTTTAATAATTTTAATTCGTCTTTAAGTATCTATATGAATTGGGTTGGCATACAAAAGGCGTGATCGGTTTAACGCAGCCACGTCGCATATCCGCCATAACATTGGCCAACCGCGTAGCGCTGGAGAGAGGTGAAGTCATTGGTGATACTGTGGGATTTGTAGTTAAATTTTTGGAAAAATGTTCCGATGCTACAGCAATAAAAGTGAGTACGCAATATCTTTAAGGAGCTAATCACTAAACATTTAATTTTTTTCTTTTTCTTTTAGTACATGACAGAGGGCATCCTACTGCGCGAACTTCTCACAGATCCTTTACTTATGCGTTATAGCGTTATTGTAATTGATGAAGCGCATGAACGCAGCTTAATAACCGACATAATCCTTGGTTTACTGAAGAAAATTGTTAGCAAGCGGCCAGCTCTCAAGTTGGTCGTATCATCTGCCACAATTGATGCTGATGACTTTGCCGATTTCTTTAAAGCAAATTCCAGCATAATTCTATCTGTTGAAGGTAGATCCCATCCAATCGGCACATTCTATTTAATCAAACCTTGTGCAGACTATGTGAATGAAGCTGTCGAAACAGTGTGGAAGATACATAAGAAGGAAGCACAAGGCGATATTTTAGTATTTCTAACGGGTCAAGAAGAAGTAATGCAAGCTGTCAGTCTAACAAAGGACTACATGAGCTCTAACGATGACAGTACATTACAGCCGGTGCCGATGTATGGTTCGCTAACGCATAGGGAACAATTGAAGGTGTTCTTTGCAGCGGAGAAAGGCGTGCGGAAAGTGGTATATGCAACAAATATCGCTGAAACATCCATCACTATACCGGGTGTTGTTTATGGTAATTTTAACTTTTTGAAGCTAGTTTTAACCGACTTCAAAAAAAGGAGCAGTTTATCAATTCGTTGGAATAGCTATTTTTATGTATGTTACCGGATAACTTTGGTCACCGTCAACCGTTTTCGTTAATTCTTTTTTATTTTAGTTTACTAACTAATAAACTTAATAAACTATCGTTACATTTTAATATGAGCGTTGAAGTCGGTTGTGTTTTTGTTTAAAAACATACTCTCATAATAGTAAATGGAATATTTTCTTTTCAAGTGGTGGACTGTGGCTTTATGAAGTTAAAATGGTTCGATTCAGACAGCGCGACCGATCAATTGGTCGTGGTGCCCATCAGCAAAGCTACTGCTATTCAAAGAGCAGGACGTGCCGGCCGCACACGGTCTGGAAAAGTGTATCGCCTATTTACTGAGGAAGATTATGAAAAATTACCTGACAGATTTCCGCCTGAAATACGTCGCTGTGAATTGAGCGCAATGATTCTGGCACTGGCAGCACTGGGAATAAGTAATATTTTGAAATTCAATTTCCCTTCAGCCCCGCCCGCCAAAAACGTGTTGGCTGCATTAGAAACGCTGCACGCTCTAGGTGAGTATGTATGTAGATAAATACCATAGACTGCATCACTCCCCATATAAAAAAAAAAATCGGTATTGTTTCTCCATTGGAGTTATAAAATCTATTATATTTTAAGACATCCACCAAAATATTTCGGAAAAATATTAACATTTAAGCGATTTGAAATTACCTCCAAAAATTGAGTTTTTATGAATAAAAATAGTTTCTTAAAAATGTTTTTAGAAAAAATCCCCTCAAATGACAAAACGGATTAAGCTCAAAAAATTTGCATGAAAATATTTAAAAATAATTTAAAAAATTTCGAACGGAATTGTAATCAGATTTTTGATGCTGTTTTTTAACTTTTTTTCAAAGATTGACATAAGAAAAACTTGAATAACTGAACCTAAACTCTTCCGATTTAGACTTGTTAGGTATCATTGGAAAGGTATTTTCTCACCCTTTTTATTTCTTTGCTAATATGCCATTCATAGGATGAAAGATAAAGGTAGGATGAACGAACATCATTCATAGTTGAATTAAGATGTGTTGGTATTTGAAAAAAAGGGACACGAATGACTTTTTTGCACATAAGTAAAAATAGTTGGAAAATACCTTTCTAACGAGATCCCATAAGTCTAAATCAGATTAGTTTTGGCCCAGTTATTTAAGTTTTCCGTAAATCAATCTTTGAAACAATTAAAAAAACAGCATCAAAAATCTCATTATTACGATTCCGATCACTATTTACGATACGAAAAGATTTTTAAATATTTGTATGCAGATTTTTTAGGCCTAATCTGTTTTTTCATCTGAGGGACTTTTTTCAAAAAGTTATTTAAGAAATTTTTTATTCATAAAAAATTCTATTTTTGGAGGTATTTTCAAATCGGTCCAGCTCCCTTAAATCTCTTTATTTTTTTTCCAAAATACTTTGGTGGACGTCTTAAAATATAATAGTAGTAGTATAAATTAGTGCACAAATATAGTATTTTTTTTAATGAAATTGTAAGTTTTTTTTTTATTCGAGTCACGCGTTTGGGCGCAGCAGCCCAAAATCATTGTACAAATAACTAACCCATACCCAAAAAATTTACTAAAATTAAAGAACAAAAAAAAATTTAAAACTTTAAAACACGGTCTTCAAAAGAGTCACAACTCAAAATTTGGCACTTTTGAGATTATGCGCTAAAAATGTACACATAGCTTTTATTTATCTTTCAGCAAAAGCTGGAACAAATTTTTGTTATAATTTGTTAGCAAAACGCAAGGTAAATTCGCCCTTGCCCATATGATTATCATGTGCTAAGAAATCATGTTTCGCATTTTCTGACAAACGTATTATTTTGAGTTGTGACGGTGTGCGATATGTATGTATGTATATATTAGGGCTCATGATACCCGGGTAAGGCATCACTCGGGTCAAATCATCAGCCCTAGTATATACATATGTATATGTGCATATGTATGTAAAATCACTTACCAATCATTTTCAAAACACTTCATTCGTAATACCTGGGCTTGTTCGGAAACGCTCCAATTTAACTACATGCAGAGTGGAGATGTTGGGAATTTTTTTATTGAACTGAACTCATTCTCGATCAAAATTTCAAGGCAACACCACTCTGTAATTACCAAAATGTACAAATCGTGTGATACCTGCTTTATGCGGGTACGTATGTACATACATACATATGTATGTATATATTAATACAAGTGCGCACTTATGTGCATTTTCGAAAATACTGGGCCAAGAAACTCAACCGGACGGAAACACACTCACGAATACGCTACCGATACGACGATATCACGGTCAGTACGACAGCATGATCAGTATTTCAGCGGAAGTCCTTCGGTGCATTCAACTGTTTACTGGTGCATCAAAAGATATAGCGGCGAAACACGAAAGGCAGTTCATTTATAAAATCGCGACCATCACGAAAACACTCCCATCTTCCCATTACAGCCCAACCAGCAGCAGCAAGTTAATTGTTTACAATCAGTTTTTTATTTAATATTAATTTGTGCACGCCCAATTGCGCATGAATTAGGCACTTAATTTGACCGCGACACAAATCAGCTCCTCGCTTTCAATTAGACAATTTACTAATATTTCTTCACAATTTTACTCCATTACAAGAAGCACCTTACTATATTTGCAATGCAAAATATATTTTGCATTTTATTATTAAACATCTTTGCACAAAATCTCACTTTTTTTGCCCAGAAATTTTCATTCTGCAACAGACGCCAATTGACAACCAACTACCGTTACTGCAATCGACTACATATGCATATGCATACACACACACGCACACACTTTCTTTCGATCGTTCAACTTTCGTTGACAATTCAATTGTCTCATCCAAGGCGAATTAATATAAGGTGATAGCAGGAGTACAAAAACAAAAATGTACATGTATTTTATTTTTGCTTTAGCGGCATAAACTGTCAAAATCTGTAAGAGTGTGTGTAGAAATTCAAACAAAATTTTTCAATTTGATATCAGAAGCCGTGCGGCGAAACACATACATAAAATCAGCTGAGCTAGTAACACCACCTTATATAAGGTGCGTNTCTCATCTCTCTGACGCGAACACTGCTGGAATTACTTTTAAGTTAATTTCCGTTTCCTACTCACTCACACTCATTGCATTTAATGCAAAACTACAAACATCCTTTGCATACATGTGGATAATGCAGTACTTTGTGAGTAACGCAGTATAGCCGTCATCGATTCGCCAACAGTTAGCAAGTGGCGAAACGAACGAATTCAATGAGGTACAACCAAACTCGCTATCGTCTATCCGTGCTAGCTAACTTTGTTGTTGCTTTCACATGCAAAATTGTTCGTTAAGCGACCGGAACTCAAACATAGCAAGCAGCGAAGTGGCGAATCGATGACGGCTTATATTTCAGGAACCCAAAATACAAGATCACGCAGAAATGCGACCTCGTATTTGTAGCTGGGGTAATTCTCTAGGGTGGGGTAACAACACCTAAAAAAGGTGCGGAAAAGTCGGGAGGGGTTCCAAACGACGCGTTTCGGCCCCCCTAATAACAATCCGGAGGGGGGGGGGTGATAATATTATTAACCATTTAAAAGTTATGAACAAAAAACTTTTGTTAAATTTCGTTGTTTTCTATGAGCAATTACCACGTCAAAAATGCAATAAATCACCAGTTTCCACTTTTAAAACACTACTAAAACGTTTCCGGTTATTATTTTATGCAAACCAAATCATTTATTCACTTTTATTTTATATATTTCGTTAATAAAACAGAGTAAACAAACTTTGCGCCTGCTAAAATTATTATAACCTCAAATCGCTGGTATTGCCACTTTATTTCACATTTCATTTGCGCTATTATACTCGACCCGCTTTCACAATCTTTTTTCCCAAAACCAGTTACGGTAATTCTCTAGGGTGGGGTAACAACCCCTAAAAAAGGTGCGGAAAAGTCGGGAGGGGTACCAAACGACGCGTTTCGCCCCCCTCATAACAATCCGGAGGGGGGCAGATAATATTATTAACCATTTAAAAGTTATGAACAAACAACTTTTGTTAAATTTCGTTGTTTTCTATGGGCAATTACACCGACAAAGATTCACCAAATCACCTGTTCTCACTTTTTAAACACTATTAAAATATATAATTTAACTTGTTTATTAAAGAAACACATAGTTTTATCAACCTAAGATAGATTATTTTGTTATTAAAAAGAAGTTGACAATCTTTGCCAGCTGAAACGCGAGATTCCAAAATAGCTATAGTGCTGCCACTGTATTAGTATTTCGTAATAATTCACTTTTCCTTATGAGATGTGTGCACTGTTCAATGCTTTTCGGTATCTTCTTTCGTTTAATATATATATAAATAATGAAAATTTTTAATAAAAAATCGCGCGATGGTATAGCGAAATTTGCTATTATATTTTGGTTACAATATCTTATTTTGATGAAAGTAAAAAGAAGAAGTGTATAGTGTAAACT